GCGGGGGAGATGACTGGAAGATGCTGGGGGAATGCTGGAAAAGATGCTGGAGGGATGATGGGGATATACTGGGGAGATGATGGGGGATGATGGGGGGGATGCTGGAGGAGATGACGGGGAGATACTGAGGAAATGCTGGGGAGATACTGGGGAAATGCCGAGAGATGATGGGGGAGATGATAGGGGAGATGCTGAAGGGATAATGGGGAATGATGGGGAGATACTGGAGGATGCTGGGGAGATAATTGGGAGATGCTGGAGGGATGATGGGGGATGCTGGGGGTACTCACATGCGGCTGCTGGGGGAGATCTTCCGGCCATCGCGAAACCAGGTGACCTGTGGCTGGGGGAAGCTGGCGATGCGGGGGGCCTGGATGACGGCCGCGTCCCCGTGGGACACGCTCTGCTGCGTCTCGCTGTCCTCAAAGCTCCCCATGTCTGCAAAACGTGCGGGACAGCCAGGTCAGGGGCTGGGGAGGGGTCAGCAATGGGTGCCAGTGGGGGGCTCTAGGGATGGGGACCCCCAGGGAGCACCAGGACAAGGTGGGGGCACCCAACACCTCCCACCACTCCCATTCTGCCCAGTTGGACACAGACTGGAAGCCCCCAGCAGCTGAGGGAGGCAGAGCAAAGCAGGGTGCATGGAGAAGGAAGGGGGGGGCAAGGGATTTTTATTGACTTCCCTTAATTGCTGTAATTAAAAACATGTAAAGAATCTTTTTTTAACGACTTTGCCATTATCATCAGTTGTTAGCGCAGCTGCCTTATTAATTTCTCATTAGCTGCCTGATTTGTCATTGCTCCTCAGGCAAGGGTTGAAGGAGACGGGATCGGGGGCATCCCAGAAGGGAGGAGGTGACAGAGAGGGGCAGCATCCCCAACCTCAGCACCCTCCCATCCTGCCTGAACCCCCCACGATGCTCCCACATCACCCCAAAACTCGACCAATCCCTGCACGTTGGCAGGATGGGTGCTGAGCCACCAGCCCGGGATGCAGCGATGCCACGACGAGCTGGGTGTCCCTGGCCGATGGTGACCCTGGTGTCCCCATCTGTCACTTACAGGCCACCTGCACCTCGGTCTGGCGCTGCAGCAGGGCTCCCATGCGGTTGCGGACGATGCAGCGGTAGAAGCCGGCGTGCGTGCGGTCCAGCGATGTGATCATGTACCTGCAGGACACAGCCAAGGGACCGTCACAGGCACAACCCCCTAATCACCAGTGGCCACTAACCCCTGCCCAGTTGCACCTCCCTCCCCAAAAAGCGGCTGCTGGAGGCGCGTGTGCGACATCGCAGCGTCCCTCATGGCTGAGCCCAGCACCGCTGCGATCCGGGGCTGAGCTGCTTTATCACCCCCAGCCCCTGCTCTTATCAGCCCCAGCAGATAAAGGCAATAACCACGTCTGGACTTGCCCTCCACCCCCCAGCATCTCCCTGGTCCCCGCTGCCACCAGACTCCCCCCCCAGCAGCCTCCAACCCCAGGAGGGATGCGGGTGCTCCTGCTCCATCATCCCCCCAA